AGCCTATCTCAAATTCTTAGGTGAGAGGATATAAATTCATTCTATAGATCACCATGCTATATTTCTACCTTGCAACTTATAAGACACTCTTCAACTCGCTCTCCTACGGTAGAAATGCAACACATAAGTATCTCTCTCGTATGGTCAATAATAAAATACAAATATATTCTATATATAACTATATTAGCTTAATTAATCTATATCTAAATTATGATTATTAAAATGAATTCAATTCTAATGATCCAAACGGGGTCTAAGAGTAATTCGTAAATTTATCGGAACTGGACAGATATTTTATCACCGAAATGGGTATCATCTTGGAAAAATTTTAATTGGTCGTACGTACTAAATTTATTCACGAATTTTGAATAATACTCAACTCACGTAACATTAATTCTAGACCTTGCTGGAGTAGGGCTGATCCGCTAGTGAGCCTAATTGACATGCATGCTTTGGGGCCTTTAATTTGTAGGTAATGCTGTGCTAAGGACGTACATCCGTCCGGACGTTCCCGTTGATGGACCACGACATCAGCCCAACGACCCAACTCTCCACTTGTATATCTGCTGCCCAACCTTATCTGCTCGTGAGCCCGTCGTCGTTCCTATCCATTCACCGTGCCGTTGTCGTGTCCGCACATAGCCACACGCGCTCCAGCACGACCACACCACCACGACGCTCTCCACCGCGCGCGTGCTCCAGCGCAACCACGCCCAACCGGCCACCGTCTTCTCTCTCCACCACGCTCCAGCACCGCCGTCCACCATCCTTCCTCTCCACCGGGCCATCCGCCTGCCACAACGTTCTCCACCACGCCGACCGCCTTCTCTACCGGAGCTACGCGCCCCTCAGCGGCATCGAGCTCCGCGTCGACGAGCCTCCAATCATCCAAGCAGCAAGTACATGTTGCACTAAAACACATGTTGCAAGCGTATATTTCAAGTGTTTTAAATGTTTTAGGGTCCGTTTAGATGTAGATATTGGAGACTCTGAAATTGAATTGGTACCATTACCAAATCAGGCTAGTATTGGAAATGGACTAAATACCAAATCTGTTGTTTGGATGTAGATGAATTTGCTAGCTGGAATCGAGTGACACATTCAATACCATTTCATGTTTGGATGTACACCTCCAGGAATTCACTATCTTCTTCCCCAATCCCCACCGCTCTCACGACGGCCTCGAGCGCAGAGGTGGAGGCGGCCTTGGCCCTAGCCATGGGCACGCGCAGGTAGAGGCGGAGGTGGCCTCGGCCCCGACCTCGGCTTCGAGCGTGTAGGGGGAGGCGGAGGCGGCCCCAGCCCCGGCTCTGGCTGCGACGAGCTCGGGCGCGCAGGCAGAGGTTGCCCCGACCGCGATGTGCTCGTGCTCGGATGGAGAGGAGAAGGTGGCCTCGGCCTCTGCTGCGATGAGCTCGGGTGCGGAGGAGCTGGTGGATCAGAGCTGGGCGTAGCTTGGGCGGAGGTCGACGGAGGGTATGGCGGGATGAAGCTCGAGCAGAGCGCGATGGCGGCCATGGCGGGGAGGATCCCAGCGGCGGCCATGGTGGGGTGGACCTGGTCCCCTTGGTGGCGGCCATGGCGGAGAAGAGCTAGGCCCCTTGGCAGTGGCCATGGTGGGGAGGAGCCCGACGGCGGCCATGGTGGGTTGGAGCTACGAGTAGCTCGAGCAGAGAGGGAGGAGGAGCAGCTCGGGCAGAGAAGGGTCTTGGGGCCACCGTCTGCGGGGAGGAAGAGAAGGGGGCGATCGATGCCGGCTGCAGGGAGGAAGAGAAGGGCAGTCTGTTCTCACGATTCATTTCAATACGGAAGGGTTGAGCTCGGTATTGAAGATGGACAGATTTGGTTGTAGGCAAATACCACGGAAACGACCTTCAATTCCATCCCTCAATGCCAAAAATATCCAAACAATAGAATTGGAAACACTCGGTTCCAATTCCAATGTCCAGGTCTGAATATCTACATCCAAACGGGGTCTTAGAGGTATGTTACAAGTGTTTTTCACAAGGATGTAACAAAAATAGATCGGGAATATTGCATATGTTACAATGGTTATACACGTATGCTGCAAGCGTATGTTCCCAATGTTTCATCTGTTTTATAGACGTATGTTGCAAGTGTGTTTATCTAGATGTTGCATATGTTTCACACATATATTGCGAGTATTTTATCTGGATGTTGCGTACGTTTGCAATTGTTTTCAAGTGTTTTCAGGTGTTTTTGCAAGTGTTTCAGACTCATGTTTTAATGTTTCATCTATCTCCAGACGTATGTTGCAAGTGTTGCATCAAAATATTTCAAATGTAGATCGGAGTGTTGCACATGTTGTAATGTGATTCGCCTGCTGCAGCTGCTGGAGGGGGCTCGAGGGGTCAGGCAAGGCGCAGACGTCGCGTGGGGTCGGGCAAGGGCGCAAATGTCGCGTGGGGTTAGGTGGGGGTGCAGATGTCGAGTGGGTTGAGCGGTACGTAGGGTACGGGAGCGAGGTGCAGCACGTGGGAACATTCGGACGGTGCACTAGCACTAACGTTTGGGCGTCCATTCAAAAGACGCCGAAAACAACATTCGATGAATTATTGTGAGAGAGGCACTGAAAAAAAAGCTGAACTAACGTTTGGGGCCCGTTTAGCGTTCCTTGGCCAGTGAATTAGGAGCACCGAGCAGCCAACTCAGCAGACCATCATCAAGAGAAATAATCAGACAGGTTGTTGACTATAATGACTAGCCGCAGAATTGGATCAGGTGAGCCAGAAAAATGCTTGATTGTGTCATGATCGAAGAAACTATCTAATGCGAGTGATGAGCTGATGAACAGGCGGCTTGAGGCACACGTAACAGTCGACGAGGACATCCTCTCACCATCATCCATCAACCTCTGTCCCTTTTCCTTCTCTTGATAATAATGATCTACCTGTCCATTTCGTTGAGCACGCTAGCGAAGTAGCGAGGCTTTGGTTTAATGAAGCAAATCAGAGCATCACTGCACTGCAACTGCACTGTGGCAGCGTACAATCCATCTGATCCAAGGACTATCCTGCATAAATCTCGATGGATGGATCCCCTCGTCAGTCATCTCTGCTCCCAGATCTGAATAGTTTGAGCGCATAGTATATCCACTCTCACCTACCTCCACTGCTGGCACTTCGATTCCTGCAGGCCCCATCCCATGCATGCATGCATCTCACTCTTCGTCAGTAAACTGTTGAGGCTCCATCAGGTGCCATGCATCTCAGTTGAGGCTCCATCAGGTGCCATGCATCTCAGTCACTCTGAAGCAGGCTCGTAAACGATCGTAAATTTCCAGTCAGGAACAGTGTTTTTCTCTCACACCAAATCAGTCAGCAGTAAATAATCCACGATATGATACGGTCTCCCGAACAGGCTTGTAGCCTTGGGGACAGACAGACAGATGGATCCACCAGGCAGGGCCTTGCTCAGTTTCTCGTCAGTAAAACTGTCGAAGCTGTTCTGATCGAGTGCCTGCCACAGTCCAACACAGCATGGCAGTAGTACAAATGAAGGCCGTGATTAACGGTGGTATTAAATTCGCATAGTTGCATGCAGTTCGACCTCTGCAGAAGAGGAGTAAAAAGCCATTCCAACCTAGTCAATATACTACAGGACAGTAGGAGCCAAACGGATGCCACTGACAGTTTATACGAGCTGAGAAGAGCTCGGACGGGATCGGATGCAAACACCTGAAATTGCTGACTTTGGCCATGTGAGAATCGAATCAAATTCGTACTCGTACCCATTCAGCAGCTAGCTGGTAGGGACGTCAGACGATCAGAGATGTATCTGCTACCTGACTGGCCACTCCATCACCATCGATCGGGTGAGTGATCTTCTGTGCGTGCGCGGATCGATCCATCCATCCATCGATCTCGATTGGGTTTATATTGCTAAAATTATAGGCTTGTCTGCCCACTCTCACCTACGTATGTCCCCACCAATTAGCACGTACGAGTACACCTTGCTCTGCTCACTCTTGACAAATTAACAAACCCCTCCTTCCGATCCATCCATCCATTGGCCGCAATTTTAAATTCGTAATACCATACGTGTTTTGAAAAAACGTCAATTGGATGGTGCACATTTGGTCGTATTCCAAAAGCTAGTGGCTTCACACTTTTTAAATTCATTCATATCGTACGCATTTTGAAAAAAGCGTCAATTGGACGGCGCATATTGGTCGTATTTGAATAGTACAGGCTTCACACTTGGCCATGGTGGTAGTAGGAATCACTCTCACTAGGCTCCAATCCTCTCCGTCTCACGTAACGCTCGCTGTACGAGTAGTCATAATTTGAACTAATCAATACAAAAAAATACTGATATTTGTAGAAGCAAATAAATAATCATTAGATTAACTTTGGAATGTATTTTCATAATAAATCTATTTAGAGATACAAATGCTAATATTGTTCTATCAACTTAAACAAATTAAATTGACTTAGTTCAAATCTAGAATTGCAAGTCTTTTTGGATGCATGGAGCAAGTATTGTTTAATATCTTCTTCTTTAAAAATATATGATCTTTAGAAAGAAGCTAATCAACTTATTTTAAATTAATTACCTTTCTCTCAGTGCTCCATTTTTAAAGAAAAAAGGATTGGGGCACTAGCCTACAATAAGAAAAGTTTTTAATTTTTTTGCAATTAAACTAGAATAGTACAAGTAGATGCCAATATAATATGCTGCATTATTATACTTATTAATTATCCTTATAATACAGTACCATCAGCATCATATACTACCATATAGCAATCTACATCGCAACATCGTTTTGTGGATGGTTATTGCAAACATTCATATATTGGTATCCATCACATCCACCCAAAAAAGCTCCAATAAAAAATAAACTGAAAAAAGAAAAAGATTGCACCTCATTTTCAATCCCAACATTTTTGCACAACGATCGATTTATTTATGTACCTATAATAACTGAGCCCGTCACCATGGGTCCATGATGCGATCGATGCGACCCATCACCACGGCCCTCATCTGCGCCCGGCCCGGCCCGGTCCCGCGCGGCCAGCTGGCACGGCGCGGACCACCGCCACCGGGCGGCGCACGACGAAGGCGCCCTCCGCGACGCCGCCCATGCCCATGGCGCTCTTGCAGCCGTACAGGTCCAGGAGCCCGACGACCACGCTGGTGGACGCGATGGACGACCACCGCCGGGTGGTGGGCGCTGGCGGCGCCCGCGCGGGGAAGAGCGCGTCCATGAGCCCGGCGTCGTCCGGTCCCGTGCCGCCGCCGCGCTCCCTGGTGCACTCCGCGAGCGCCACGGCGAAGGGGTCCGCCGAGTCGTCGGCCGGCGGCCGCGGCTTGCCGCTGGCGCGCCGCCGCCGGGCGTGATGGTGGTGGCGCGGCCTTGACGTCGTCGTCGGCGCCCGCAGCGGCGGCGGGAGCGGGAGTGGCGTCGGCGCGGAGGAGGAGGAGGGCGTGCTGGCTGGGGTAAGGCGCGTCTTGGGGATGCCCGGGTGGTGCTCCCAGGAGAAGGGCACGGAGGTGGTGCTGGTGGTGCTGCCGCGGCCGCGCGGGGACGGCGACGGCGAGGATGCCGCCGAGGACACCGTGGAGAGGGACGACGAGGAGGACGAGGATGAGAAGGTGCGGTGGCGTCGGTGTCGGTGTCGGTGTCGGTGGGTCGACGCTGGGGAGGACGAGGCTGTCGCCGTCCGTGTCAGCGTCGGCGGCGGCTCTGGTGATGGAGTCGCTTCCGCTAGCGTCTCGCCGGTCGGCATGGGTGGGAGAGGAGCGCGCGCGTTTGGTGATGGCCGTGGCGGTGGGTGAAGTCGAGGTGTGGCCATGTGGGGAAGACGGTACATAAATACGGTGGCCGGATTTGCGCGTCAGTCCCTGTATTTTATCGAAATCTGGATGTTTAGCTGGATTTCTCTTTGTTACCCTCTGTTATTTTCTTTTGTTTCTATCTAGAATCAAGATGCAATTTTTCTTAAGAAATCATTTGATTTTCTCATTTTCAACATAACAGAGACTTCCCTAATATACTAAGAATGTTAGTACTGGTTCTTGTGTAATTCTTTTTTTCGAATCCAGCTCTTCGAATGAAGTTGTCGGCATGTACGATACTTAAGATTTTGGAGAATACACACCCTTCAATCCATGTGTTTGTTTTGTAAAAAAAAACAAAGTTTGACTGTTCTAATTTACCATTGACGTTTCAAACACCACCCCCACCCAAGATGTCAAGACTCAAGTGAGAGTTGTATACTTGTATTAGATCACTTGGAAATTTACACAGTGTGCACTTTTCCCACACAAAAAATGAGTTTGTGTTATTAAGATTATTTGAGATGAACTTCCGTGCCCTAAAATGAAGTTTTGAAGATTTTTCTATTTCTGAAGGCCTTTTGTGCAATTTCTTTTTTCCAAACGAGTCCTAGTTTATTCTCTGACTATTTTGTCACGAAGGTACGTGCCCATTTGAGAAATGAAAACTTTAAACTGAACTTTTAGAATTGAATACAAATCCGTGTGGACGAAGGTACTACATACTCCTTTTAAAAATGAGGCCCTCCTGATTAAACATCTTCACAAATTCTTTAACAGAGACAACACCCTTGGGTCTCTCTAAAGGCGTACTCAGTGCAGAGAGCTCCCGCTCTATGCGGGGTCTAAAAAATGGTGGCAGTGGTAAAACTTATCCTCGCCTGTGCAATGTGAGAAGACCGTGACTCGAACTCGAGATCTTCCGGTCATAGGCGGTAAGAGTCTACACTTGCATCAAGCCCGCCCTTCTCCTTGGGTCTCTCTAATGTGGGAAAAATATTATGATTCTGGAAAGTTGCCTGGGAGTACTTAAAAAAGGTTGATTTTGGTGGAGAGACATTTTGAAGCTTTTGGATAAATTCAAAGGTATGGCAAGGGTTGAGATCAACAGTGGAAAATCATGCTTTCTCTGGCAGGACCTGTGGGGCAATGAAATCCTTTCCCAAAAATTCCCAGAATTATTTTCCTTCGCCAAGAAAAAGCATATTGTGTCTGCTGACGGTCATGCCCAGTTACCATTGCATAGCCTCTTCCATTTCCCTCTGTCTCAACAGGCACATGACCAGATGCTGCAGCTTCTACTGATACTAGAAGAAGTTCACTGTAAATGAGGACATAGACAGACGGCTCTATATTTGGAACTCAAGTAAATTCTCAGTGAAGAAAGCTTATAAGCACCTAAGTGGCCACATAAACCCTCATCCTGTCTTCAAATGGCTCTGGGCCTGCTCTTGCCAGAGCAAAGCACAAGGTTTTTTTCTGGCTTCTATTAAGGGATCGGCTAAGTACAAGAGAGTTACTCAGAAGGAAGAGAATGCTTTTGCAAGATTATAATTGTGTCCTATGCAATGCTAATGTGGAGGAATCACTGACTCACTTATTCTTGGATTGCCCTTTTGCTGCCCAGCGCTGGGCAATGATCAATATTCAGATTAGTCAACAGCTGGACCCCTTCCAGAACTTGCAAAGCTTCAAAGATCAGCTGGGGGTGCCTTTCTTCATGGAGATCATCATACTGATGTGTTGGGAAATTTGGAAGGCAAGAAATGACTTGATCTTTCGGGAAGAAAATCCAAATATCCCTCATACTGAGCAAAATTTCAGGGATGAATTTCAGCTCTTACTGCTAAGGGTGAAAAGGAGTTACTCGCCACGAATTGACCAATGGATTGCCAATCTAGTGTAGCCAGGTTTCTTGCAGTGCTTGTACTCCTCTTTTGCTTGTACTCCTCTTTCTTGTAACTTTTTGTCTCTTAGGCTGGCCTTAGGTCATTGCCCTTGCCCTTGCCCCTGCTTTTGCGTTTTCATTTCTGTAATAAGTGACCGTACCTCTGTTACTTCTTCTTTTATTTAATTCATTATGCTGCAGGGGTGCAAACCCCTCCGATTCCTTTCAAAAAAAATATATATTGCGAACCATTGTAAGCTTACTTTTCTTGGAAAATTCGGCCACTCTACATCTGACGCAACACGACACCCGTATATTTCTGCAGGTCAGCTGGTAGCTAGGTGTTTTCGATTACTGACGACCTGACGAGGAAACTATGGCCCTGTTTGTTCCTAGTGATAAAACTTTTGTCCTGCACTTTTAGTCTATTTTTTTATAAATGGATTCAAACAGGTAGGCTAAAGTTTAGTCCATTTGCACCTTAAGAGATGCAAAACTGAGTAAAAAACATTGTGGGTGTGAATGACACTTTATTTTGCACTTTTAGCCTATTTTTTTGCCATGGATCCAAACACCCCAAGTAAAGACTAAAGTTTACTAGCAAAAGGCCATGGCAAATGGATCAAAACATATGCAAATGGATCAAGAGTTACAGGGTCTATGCATGGTAGTGGACCAACATGGCAAGCACAGAGTTGGATGAATATGAGACTCAAATAGAGTTTAAGGACAAAAATAACACACTTTCTGAGTTAGGGGACCACGATGACACACTACACAAGTTTGAGGACCAGCCATGAACTTTGCAGTGGGCGATGGGCTGGACCAACGATTCGTGTACACAGATGTATTTTTAATATAGAAGTATTTTGCTTCTGTTACACATATACAAAAACAGATATGTAGCCTCTTCTTATGGAGCTTCAAACATATACATAATGTGTAACCTTTGGAAGAAAAGGAATCGTAGTTTTTTTTATAATAAGTACTTACCAAACAGTGCAACAAGTTGCCTCAAGAAGAAAGAGGGCTCTAGCATCAACAGATAGTGCCTTTTGGGTGTGTTTTCCTCCTTTCGCGCTTCTTGGTGGAGGATCTGCGTGTTCCTCCTAAAGTCTTTTATTTTTTGCCATGCTGTGCATAAACTCTCTTTCCTATCTTAATTGACGGACAAAGCTCATCATGCCATATCTTTCAAAAACAAAAAAGGGTGTACTACATTCTCCGTTTGCAAAATCACTGTACGTTAGATCAGTTGAGACTTTGGGAGGTTTTGGTCTCTATTATATCTCTTTGCTGCTGGAAGCGAGGCATTTTCGACAAATGTACCTCGTGTGTGATATACTGATAATATATAGAGAAACGTTGATTTTACAAGTTACAATCACCAACGATGACTGAGTTCATTTTCAACTATTATCCATGAAACCATTTACTTGTCAACTCTTAACTATCAAAGCCATTCCCTTTTGAACTATGGCTGAAATCTATATATTAGGTTGGTGCTGGTTGACATGGCGTCGTTGATGTAGCGAGAGATCAAGTTTATAACACTTTTCGTTCTTTTTCTAAGTTAGGAGTACCAAAAACATGTAACCTTTTGGACACACACTATATGCAGCATCCTACGACTGAAATGTATTATTTATATATTTGAATTTAAAAATATTTTTCTATTTTGGAATAAAAAATTGGTTGCCAGCTGAAGGCAAAACACTAGGTTGTCACGTAGCAATTATGTATACAAATACATTTTTGGCTATGTTAGTTGTTACCACTGTCATCCATACCATGTCACCCAAAATAACTATAAATCTGAGTGAAGGTTTGGAAAGTGAACTGTTTATACAGTCAAAGGCTGAAAGGTCAATCTTGTTGTAATTATCATAGATAAGAGATGAAAACTGAACTCGAGCTATATATTGATGTTGTAAAATAAATGGACTTCCCTCTATCATATAGTCTCCAGGTACATATACTTCCACTTGAGGAATTAATACAGTTGCACAATGTCGTTACTAAAGTGTGGCTTGCTTTGTACAGTTCCACAGCGTGGTCTTAATCTAGCAATACCACGTGTTACTTTGGGCCTGTTTGGATTTTCAGCTCCAAACTTTAGAGCTCTAAAGTTCAGGACTAAATTTTAGATCTTTAAACTTTAACCACTAAATTTTAGACCATAAAGCTGTTTGGATTTAAAGTTAAACTTTAGAGCTAACTGAACTCAAGGACATGTCTGCCCCTGTGTATAGCCGTTAGCCATGGCACCGTACAGACTTTGAGCTGAAAAGGGTTCAAACAATATTCCATGGCACCGATGCGCGGGGTTGCCGCGTCGGAGGGAGGTGGCGTCGAGATTTTTTTTTGTTTTCACGTGAATAGGGACGGAACCGTCGTTCATGTGCGTGAAAGAGAGGGGTACCGGTGTCTTGTAGCGAGGGAGAACGAAAGTTTAGAGCACGTGCTTTAGCTCAGATTTTTGGTCCCATGCTCTAATGGACTTTTAGGGGTGAGTTAAAGTTTAGCTCTAATTCTAAAGTATCGGTTTAGAGATTTAACTCTAAAGTTTAGACCTTTAGACTCTAGAGATTGGGATCAAATAGGGCCTTAATTAGTTGTAAGGTCGTCTTTGTTATACTACTTTAATTGCACTGCACTGCACTGTTTGAACAATTGTTATTGTAATTTGTACTGTAGTAGTACAGTATTAAGGACCTACTGTGTGCGGCAGTGTGGTACATACTACATACATGCACCCCAGTGGGGACGTGTGGCCTGTCCTGTATATAGTATTGTCCGTAGAAGGCAGGACGAGTGGGACGCAAGGCCGGCTTGCTTAGCTTCTTCCTGCCGTGCTCAGTCATATGTAGTAGTCGTATGCATGTATACTGACCATATTAGATAGCTTGCAGTTGCGGCAATGGCGTATGCAGAGAGTAGGATGAGTAGAAGTAGAAGTTGAAGTAGAAGCAACATACTCCATTCGTAAAAAAAACGTAATTCTAGCTCTGAATCTAGACACACGTCGTGTTCGGTTCAAAGCTAGAATTGTGTTTTTTTTTC